TAGGGCCGTGCAAGCGATGCTGCCAGTTATGGCCCCTGCCAGGAGCCAGCACAACGCTGCATGCCCCGTTCCTGGCAGGAGCCCCATGTACATTCCCAACTTTAGTTTGCATCCCATCTCATGACTGGGGAGTGATGATCTGCATTTTACAGATGAGGAAACTGAGGCTAGGAGAGATTAAGTGACGTGCTCAGTTACTTAGAGTCACATAGCCAGCAGTGGGAGAGGCGGGACTTGAACTCGGCTCAGTCTACCCCGGAGCCACTCCTCTGCTGACCAGGCGTGGTAGTGCTGGACCCTCACTGCCCTGCCGCTTCCTAGGGGACATGTTGTTGCTTTGGGGCCGGCTCACCTGGAGGAAGATGTGCAGGAAGCTATTGGGCATGACTTTCAGCTCCAAGACCAACACGCTGGTGGTGAGGCAGCGCTGCAGGCAGCCGGGAGCTGGGGTGCTACTGCAGTATGGGAGCCAGCTTGCTCCTGAAACCTTCTACAGAGGTATGGCCAGGCCTTCTCCACCTCCCCTGGGTGCTCCGGTCCTGGCAGGGAGGCTGGGTGGGTGCTGCTGGGGATGGGGCCAGTCCCAGTGGGGTAGTGGGAAGATACAGAGGGAGCTGACTGAGATGGAAGGAGCTGGGGTTGGCCAGTGTCAGTCTGTACATGCCAGGGAGAGGTCGCAGGATGAGTGCTACATCCCTCCTCTTTGGGACTGTGCGGCAAGATGGATGGATGTGGGATGTTGTCCACATCCTCAGTCAATCCCTCAGGCCTCTGCCCCACACCCACCCGCCCCACCCCCAACCCTCCAGCCTTTCAAGGCCCTTTAGGATTTTTGTGAGAGCCACTGTCCCTCGGCCCTGTTCTAGTGCACTGGTGTGAGCACACATGCTTGTACATGCGTGTGCACCCACAAGCACACCTCAGACAGAGGATGCCACCTCAGGGACCCCTGCCTTGCCCATGGCCCCCTAGATACCCTCTGATAGCCCTCTCGGTTGTCCTGGAGGGCTTGCCCTCTCCCAACAGTCCAAGCTGGCCGAAGTTGGCTTCCCTAGCCGGTTCCAGAGGTTCCTTGGCTCCCCCAGGTGTCAGGGGCTTAGTGGCAGTGGGCTTAGCCTCTGCAGAGACCTAGTGCGCCTCCTCCTTGCCCCAGCATCTGCCTGAGCAGAGAGCTGTGTATGTGCCTCAGCGCACAGGCGCTGCTGGGTCCTGCCAAAAGGCCATGAGCCCACTGTCACCGTTCACACTGCTTCTTACTTCCCGGCCCAGCCCCACCCACACAGGCACCTGCCTTGAAAGAGGTGCAGGAGGTACAGGCAGGCGGCAGCTCCAGTGAGCTCCGAGGAACAGCAGTGGCTGCCATGGGTGGAGCCTATCCTTGGTGCCAGGTTCAGTGTGAAACACTCTTGCACATGTGACATCATTGAGTCCTAAAGACCACTCTGCTCAGTGCATGCCATTGTTTCCTTCAGTTGCAGAGGAGGCTAAAAAACATTTAGCCTTTGCCTAAAGTCACTGGGCCAGGAAGTGGTAGAGGTGGGGTTCAGCAGGGTTTGCCTGGGAACCCCAATATTGACCACAGTGCCATGCTGCCCTGCACTGCTTCCCGGCTGTGAGTTGCCCTGGCCTGTGGCATCAGTGGTCTGTCTGGGTTTCTATGTCCCACTTGCTCCCCCTGCAGAATGTGACATGCAGCTCTTTGGGCCCTGGGGTGAAATCGTGAGCCCCTCGCTGAGTCCAGCCACGAGTAAGGCAGGGGGCTGCCGGCTCTTCATTAATGTGGCTCCGCACGCCCGGATTGCCATCCATGCCCTGGCCACCGACATGGACAATGGGACCAAGGGAGCCAATGCCAGCTACATCTCGGTGAGGCCCAGCATGGGGACTTGTGCTGTGATTCTGGACAGCTTTCCCTAGGGGGTGCAGGACTAGGGGACCCCCTTCAGTTTATTTCAGACTCAAACCCTCCAAATCATTAGTGAAAGAATGGGAGAAGAGCGCTTCCTCCACATATTCACCAAGAAATGTTTTTTGAGCTACCTACAAGAGTGAAATAGTGGCTCATACCTGTAATCCCAGCACTTTGGGAGGCTGAGGAGGGCAGATCACTTGAGGTCAGGAGTTCGAGACCAGCCTGGCCAACATGATGAAACCCTGCCTCTACTAAAAATACAAAAAGTAGCCAGGCATGGTGGCGTGTGCTTGTAATCCTAGCTACTGGGGAGGCTTAGGCACAAGAATCACTTGAACCCGGGAGGTGGAGGTTGCAGTGAACCCAGATCGCACCACTGCACTCCAGCCTGGGCAACAGAGTGAGACTTTGTCTCAAAAAAGAAAAAAAAAAAAAAAAAAAGCAAAATGATAAAGAATGGTAAAGACCTTTCTGATGTAGACTGACAGCTAACCCAGGACTGAAGCATAATTTTACAGTCTGATATGACTTGGACAGAGGAGCACCTGCACCCTCCCCAAGGTTTCCTGTGTCCTGGGAGAACTGTGTTCTGCAGGGTATCAGCTTCCCCAGACGAGGCAGCCTGGCCCTGCTCTGGCACCCTGACTGTGTGTCCTCGGTGAAGTGATGTAACTTCCCTGGAGCTCAGTTTTCTGGGTAGAGTAACAGCGTACTCCTAGGAGGGCTTTGTAAGCATTAAATGTGATCCGGAATCTGTGAGCCCCTGCACATTAAGGGCTAATTATCACTTATGGCCGGTCCTTCTGGGCTGCCCCTTTTCTCTCAGATCCGGGACATCCACAGCTTGAGGACCACAACGTTCCATGGGCAGCAGGTGCTCTACTGGGAGTCAGAGAGCAGCCAGGCTGAGATGGAGTTCAGCGAGGACTTCCTTAAGGCTCAGGCCAGCCTGCGGGGCCAGTACTGGACCCTCCAATCATGGGTACCGGAGGGGCAGGACCCTCAGTCCTGGAAGGGAAAGGAAGGGACCTGACGGTCAATGAACATTTGTTACATGTCTGGCCAGCCCTGGAGGGTTGACCTCTGGTCTCAGTGCTTTCCAATTCGAACTTTTTCCAATCTTAGGTATCTACTTTAGAGTCTTCTCCAATGTCCAAAAGGCTAGGGGGTTGGAGGTGGGGATTCTGGAAAGGCAGCCCCCATTTCCTCGGGTACCAATAAATAAAACATGCAGACTGACCGGCGGTTTTTTCTTATAAGCTGTCCAGACCTGGCTTGAAAACCCATCCCATGGCAAGGCAGGGATTCGCTGGCCCCGCTTGGCTCTATCTTGATCTGCGCAAGCCGCTGGACATCCCTAGTTTTCTTCTTCCTATCCAGGAAGAAAAGCCAATCAGGATTCCACTCCGAGGCTGGCGCATTTGCCAGCTCCCTGCGAAGCCCCACCCGTGTGTCCTGGTGTGAGGGTCTGACCCCTAAGGTGTCCGCGCGCCGCCAAACCCCGCCCCCTATGCTAATGAGTGCCCGCCTCCGTCAGGAGCAAGTCTCCGCAAACTGCGGGCCTCCGCCCCCTATGCTAATGACGCCCGCCCCCCTCGGGCGCACCCCTCCGATGCCTGAGAGCCCCGCCCCGTATGCTAACCCCACCGCGCCGCAGCCTGCGGGTCCCGCGCCCTACAATAATGAGCACCTGCCACCCCTCGAGCTCACCTAGCCGCGGCCTGAGGGTCTCGCGCCCTATGCTAATGAGCACCCGCCTCCCCTCGGGCGCTCCTCGCCGCAGCCTGAGAGCCCCGCCCCCTATGCTAATATGCTCCCTCTCCCACAAGGCAGCGCGCCGGTTCGGACGCGGCCGGCTCCCGAGCCCTTTGTGAGGGCTGTGGGCTGCGCCTGACGGCGGCACCATGAGCGGCTCAGGTGGGGCGCCCGCGGCGTCCGCCAGCTCTGCGCCGCCCGCGCAGGAAGAGGGCATGACGTGGTGGTACCGCTGGCTGTGTCGCCTGTCGGGGGTGCTGGGGGCAGTCTGTGAGTACCCGGTCCGGGAGAGGGGGCCGGCCCCGCCGCGCATGCGCGCCCCGCCCCGCTCTGCCCCGCTCCGGCGGCCCCGGGGGAAAGGACCCCCTGGGGGGCGGGGGCCTGCCGGGCGCCTCCCGGGGCGGAGGAGTGGCGGGGCCGCCGGCAGCCGGCGTCCCGGGGTTGCCATGGTTACCATGGTTACCGGCTCGGGCCTGGGCGCCTTGGTACCCTGGGCTGGGCTAGCGCTTCTGGGAACATTTCCGGAGGGACCAGAAACCCCAGGGCGGGGGGCACCGGCCTGGGGCACGTGACTGAGCCCTTCCCTCGCCCCCCAGGGGCTTTTGTGAGACTTTCTCGGTGATGCTCACGGAGCGCATGCCCACCTGGCCCGTAGTAAGCGTCAGCTGTTGACTTGGGCGTAGGTGACGGCAGCCACGTTGCTAACCTTTGGGCGAGGATTGTTGATAAGGGAGGCGGGTGCACGGCCAGCTAGATTTCTGGCAGGAAGCCACCGGGTGGAAGTTTGCTGGGGGTCAGGTGGTGTCAGGGCATAGGTGGCCCCCGGGGGCCTCGGGGCAGTGAGCTGAGGGCCGGGCCTCTCCCTGGGTCCTCTGTCCGCTGTCAGCTCTCCCCCGTTGCTGCTGCCTTAGCCGCCTATCACCGGCCCTCCTCCCCTTCTCCGTAGGCATCCCAGGCACAGACCCTGACCTTAGGCTCCCAGGGAAGCTAGGCTCTTAGGCACAGCCAGAAAAGGACAAAGAGGGAGGCAGGTCTGCTCCAGGAGTGAATGGAAGCTGTACAGCTGGCATTCCAGGGAAAGACAAGTGTGTCTGAATGATATCCTTTCCTTTCCTGTCTGCCCTCAACCTTGTGAATAACTGGAGTGGGCAAGGTCTTATAGAATGCCTGTCGAGGATGTCTGCAGGGTTTAAACACTGGCACAGAGGGCTAAATCTGGGCCTGGGCAGGGCAGACCCCATCAGCTCTCCTGCCAGAAAGACCATCTTTTCACCTTGGGTTCTACAGCCTTTCCAGGTGGGTGGAGGGTGGAAGGAGGTTGAGGGTGGAGGGATGTTGAGGCAGGAGGGTGCGGGGCTAGGAGTGTGCTGCCCTTGCTAGGCACGCCCTTATCCGGAGGCAACTGAATACAGTAGGGCAGGCCCTACCCCCAAATACAACAAAGAGGCCCCAGGTTTGTGCCACTGCTCTTCAGGGCAAGTACGCTTTTGACTTTGTAGGAGAGACTGGTGGGCTTGAAGTTAGGCATTGGTTCCAGTCCTCTCGTGTCTGGTTAGCTGTTTTCCCCGCAGATTAGGGTGAGCAGTGCAGAGGGGTGACATGGTTAGTGGTGAGAAAGGAAAGGTGCTGACTGTGGCCTGTAGGCCACACCTCCTTCCTTCTTGATCAGTGAGCCTGCCGACTCACAGATGAGCCCTGGAGTCTTACTCAGTTCTGTGTCTCTCAAAGTGAGGTGCCTGTGCCTTTCCCGGGAGTACCTGGGGCTCTGTTGGGTCTACAGATGAAGCTGCAGGGGAAACCTGTGCCATTGCCCTGAGTTGTCAGTTGCATCTGCAGAATTTTGGGGGGCACGGTTATGTGAATATTAAATGCTGTATTCCAGGGTAGAGTGCAAAAATGCAGCGTGTTTTAGAGATGCAGCAGGAATTCAGACAAGGGTTGTGTGCCTGGCTGGTCCTTGGGGTAAGGTTTTCCTTCTCCAGGGTGAGGGGATCAGAGAGAGGAGCTGGAGAGGGTCTACCCTGGGTCCTGAGAGCATCTGGAGGTGATATCTTGGGAGGGGACAGGATTGTATGGTGACAGCCCCCTCACGTGGAAGATATCACCATTGAGGTCCCCAAGTGGACATCCTCCAGCCCTTTATTACTAAAGGATTCCTGGCTGGAGCCTGCAGGTCTGGGTTGATACCTGGTCCTCCCCCAAGGCTGGCTGTGGGTTGGACAGCTGGGGTAAGGTTGGAGCTGGAGGCCAAATGCTGACTGCAGCAGGAAGCACAGCCGAGCTGTCAGGTGAGGCCAGGCACAGCGGAGAGGCAGGGAGCCGTGTCGCCCTTTGGGCACCCTGCTGGGGCAGGCAGGCCCCTTTGCACCTGTGGTTCTGGAACCCCTTGCTGTCTGAAGGCAGATGTCTAAGGCTGTGCTGAGGAGCAGTGCAATGCTTGAGTCCTTTGTTTTGGAAGGAGACCCTGGGGGCAGTCCCACTGCAGTCTGGCTCACTTTATCTGGCTTCCTGGCCTGCTGTCTGCATAAGGTTACCTGGGAAAATGGAAAACGGCAGAATGCCAGACCCAGGCGGAGGGATCAGGTGCAGAGGAGCTGCTGCAAGTTTAATGAGCTGGTTGCTAATTGCTGCCTCCAAGGCCCCCACTCAGCGATGGCCTGGGCTTGCTCCCTGCCCAGCAGCCAGCTCCCTGGACCCTCCTTGAAGGCTCCTGGAGTTCCTGGTGAAGCCAGGCTGCAGGCTGTGGGTAGAGGAGGGAGTTGGGTGCAAGAGACCCTGCTGGTGAGGTGCAGCAGGGAGGCGGGGAGGCAAGGCTGCACATCTGGGCATCAGAGAAGCCACGTTCTGGGGTGGAGGAAGACGCCCCCTCCCCTTCCTGGCCTCATGGCATTTCAGCGGTGTGTGGCTGGGCTGTGGGACTTGCTCATGTGCAAGAGGAGAAATGGGCCTCGGCAGATGAAGATAGCATGCCCGCGGCACAGGGCTGGTGAGGAAGTTAGAGCTGGAACTGCTGCTCGGTCTTACCTGGTTCCCATCTCTGTTCTGAGAGAGGCACCCGTTGTCCCAACCAAAATCCAAGCCACATTTTCTGAGTCAGAGGACTTCCTGTGTGGCTGGCCCTGTGAATGGTGACAAGTGACCCTTGCCAAAGGCTGAGTCTTGGGAGAGCACTGGCCTGAATCCTTGAGGGACATTCTCTCTTTAATCCTCCTTTAATCCTAACCTCCCTTTGAGGTGGATATTGATGTAGCTGGGGTCAAAGGGCCAGCTCCTCTGAGCCCTGGAGCGGAGAGAGGGTGCCGTGAGATCCACCTGCCACCTTGCTGCCACCTTGCTGTGGGGCCTGGGGCAAGCCGCTGCACCTCTCTGCGTCTCCTCACCTATCTCAGATGATAGAGGGCAGGCTTCTGGGTGCTGTGAGAACTGTGTGCTGAGCATCCGCAGAGACTCTCGTCCTTTCCAGTCATCTCCCGAGGCTGCCATCCCAGCGGGCTCCCCCTGACTCCTTGCTGACTCCTGCCCGTCTCTCTTGTTTCAAGCTTGTGCGATCTCTGGCCTCTTCAACTGCATCACCATCCACCCTCTGAACATTGCGGCCGGCGTGTGGATGATGTGAGTAGCACACGGCCGTCCCGCCCCAGGGGTCTCGCTGGTCGGGAGTCTGTGGGGCGCCTCCTGGGGCAGAAGAGTGGCAGGGGCCGTGGGACCGGGCATCCTTGTGGTTGCCATGGTTACTGGCTCCAGCCTGGGCGCCTCAGGGCTTGTGGGTTTCTGGCCACAGCATGCGGCTTCTTCGCCTTCATATCCCCACCACGTTTGGTTTCCTAATGAGAGGTCGGGGCCCAGGGAACGCCCACCCTGGCCTTCATCCGGTGCAGGGGCGAGGCCATCAGTGCTCCAGACATTTCTGGAGCATCCGCGGAGACTGCAGATGCCAAGTCCACTACACTGGGGACCTCGCCCTCTGGGAGCTCCCAGGACTGGAGTGGGGAAGGCCGTTCGCTGGGGCTGGCTGAGGACTGGGTTGGATGGTCCGCTGGGAGAGGACGCTCTAACTCGGAGCTGTGCTAAAGATAGATGGGAAAGGCGGGTTGGAGTTGTCACGGGAACCCGCGGTCAGAACACCCTCATGTGCGTTCCATGCCCACCTCCTGCCAGGGTGGCGCCATCCCGTCAGAAGGGAAGGTGGGGTGAGGGCAGGCCCATGCGACTTGAGGCACATGAGAAGTGCTGTGACCAGGAATTGACTGTCCTCGTGGGGCTTGGTGCCTTGAGGGGCACAGAGCTGGACGCGATTCAGATCCCATCCTCAGTGACCTATGGCCAGTGGAGAGCCTCGGGGGCCTGCTGTGGTGGGGTCCCCAGCGCCTGTGCTGGCCAGTGGTGGATAGGGAAAGGGGATGGACAGAGAGGCGCCTGGCCCAGCTTCAGGGGGTGGAGTTGGAGCCTGGCCGAGTTTGAAGTGGAAGGGGCTGGCCCAGCACAGAGTGAGCCAGTGCTTAGAGGCCTGGTGTGTGGGAGGCTTGGGGCGGGGTGCAGTGGTTAAGAGTTGCAAAGAGAGTGCCTGCCCCGGGCTCGGGGTGGCTCCTGGGTGTCCTGAGCCTGCATTTCGGTTACACAGGCATAATGATGGCACTTTTCTCCCAGGCTTGGGGACAGACAGAAGGGCCTGGCCCAGTGTCTGGTAACTGATTGTTACCCACACGTAGAGAATACCATCACCACAGCAGACACCCTCCATCACCAGTGGCGTAGCTGTTCCCACCTCAAACATGGGGCTGGACGCAAGGACTTGCTAAAGTTCTTCCTCCCCAGCGTGGGCTTCCCCTGGGTGTCCCTGGGCCTGGGGCCAGTGGCATCGGGTGTGTGGGCAGCTCTCCGTGACCGTTTCGGGACTGCATGGCTCCAGCTCTCTGCCTCCCTGGTGGGGCAGCCTTCCTGGTGCTGGTGCCACTGACAGCTCTTGATGGCCATGGCGATAATACTAACAGCAGACAGAGGACACAGCTGCCAGCGCTCCATCTGCGGATGAACCCGCTGCAGTGTTACAGCAGTGCCACGATGTGGGGTCCTCTTTCCTCCCTCTCACACAGGAGGAGGAGAAAGGGCAGCTGAAGCCCAGGGGCTTCCCTCTAGGAGTGTTCAGTTCAGCTGGGGAGATGGGTGCAGGGGCAGCTGGGGAGTGCTGGAGTCTTCAGCAGAGGCTCTTCAAGGGGTACAAGCAGGTGCCCTGGAGCAGCCGGGCGGCTTCCCAGAGGAGGAGGGATGAGGGCAGGAGGGTGAGAGAGGTGGCATTTCTTACGGTACTGGCACTGGGGGCCGCCCTCATCCTCCTGGGATTGTCAGTTGCTGCTTTTCTCCTGCCCTGGTCCCTGCAGCATGAATGCCTTCATCTTGTTGCTGTGCGAGGCGCCCTTCTGTTGCCAGTTCATCGAGTTTGCAAACACGGTGGCGGAGAAGGTGGACCGGCTGCGCTCCTGGCAGAAGGCTGTGTTCTACTGCGGGTGAGGGGCTACTGGGCAGGGTCCTGTGACACAGTTCCCCAAAACCCCACTGACAAAATAGGACCCAACAGTCAGGTGAGGGTGGGCAGTGTATTCAGTTCCTCGCTGTAGAAGTGTAAACCGGGATTGCCTTTGTGCACAGTGATTTGCTGATAGCTGCTAAAACATGCTTCAGCGGTTCTGTACCCGGGAACTCAGCTGTCGCTGTGCCGTAGTCACCGGAAGGTTCAGAGGTATACGAGCATGTGTGGCAGCATTCCGTGCAGTTGAGAGAAACGGGAAGCGTCTGGAATTTTGGTCCATCCACTGGGAGTTGTTAACTCCCAGATGATAGTAGGTCTGTAGGACATGCTTCTCTGCAGCCTTTGCGAAGAGTCGGTTCATCTAGATGTCCTGACGTGAAAGGGGAGAAGCAGGTTGCAGAGCAGAAAATGTGGTTGCCCTCTAAATACGCTTGTTAAAAATTTTCCCATTTCTAACAATGAAATCAATATGTAATACTTCTCTGAGTCATAAGATGGAACTAATTTCAGGATAAGTTTAATACATGGAAGCTCCTAGAATAATGCCTCCAGTGCACAGGAGGCTGGCGGCAACAGTATTGATTATTGTCTAGGTTCTCTTTAGAAAGAAGTCTAGATGCAAGCTTGCTTTCCCTTCAGAGGGGCTTGGTAGTTTTGATGGTAAGAGCGCAAGCCACGTGCTTACTTGTGGAGCCATCTTCTGCCGTATCTAAGTCACGAAGGACACAGGATCACAAAGCTCTTATCTACACGCAGTGTCATGTCACTAGGGGTTTAAAAAACTGTATTTTAAAAATGCTAGCCATAATAGAAATTCATTAACAATAATTTGGAAAATAGAACAATGTTACTAGAAGCCCACTGCCTGCTACTCTGATGTGTGTGCTTCCTGTCCGCAGGCATTTTTTAAAAGCCTGCTCTTAACACAGTTATAACCATTACGAATAAGTTTGTATCCTGCTTTTTTCACGTAGTGTCATGATACAAGCATTTTAACATCGCCACAGATTTTATAACATTCTTTCAATACAGCAGTGTTCGTTCAGCTGGATGATTTTCTTCATTTCTTAACTGGTGTAACTCGAGCTGTGATAAACATCTGTCTGCTAAAACTTTTTCTGTGTTTATGATGATTTCCTTAAGATCTATTTTCAGGTGTGGAATTACTGGGTCAAAGATTCTGATCATTAAAAATATTTTAAGACGCGTGGCTATGTTGCTTTCCAAAGAGGTCCCTTGAGTCTCTCCCCCGCCCGCACCCCTGCGCAGGGCTGCACACCACTTCACATTTGCATTTATCTATTTCGTTATCTAAGAGGAAAAATATTTTCCCGCATGTTCCCGTTGCATTTTCTGATTTGAAAATTTTCAAGTTTCCTTTTTAACCTGTGGGAACCTCAGTGTTTTGTTTCGCAAGTTGTGTGTTTTCTGTATTAAAGATTCAACGATCCTTGGTTGTATTTCCTGCAACTATTTTTCCAGCCTGTTCTTTACCTTTAATTTTGTTTTTGTCAGAAGGTTCCCCGCTGTGGTCTTTCTTTTTCTTGGTAATTTCTATTCTTATTTTATCATTTGGAAGTTTTTTAATGACAGAAAAATCTCACAACCACACGTCTACAAGAATGGAAATTCAGGTAGAATGCCATGGCCATGAGTCTCGTCCTCTCGCACAGGCGGCTCCTCTAGGGAGGCAACAGGACAGAGCGCTGGTCTCCGACCTGCAGGTGTCCTCCTGGCCCAGTTAGCCCAGGAATTGCTGCTGGCCTGGAAATTCCAGCCAGGATGGAGAATCAGCCCCGGGGATGCTTACGCCCCAGTGGACCCTGCCACCAGGTGACGCCAAACAGCAGCAAGATCGAGGCTGACCCTGCAGACCCCGCAGCCTGCAGCCCTCCCATGATGAGACCCTCCCATGATGAGACCCTGTGTTCCATGCGGTTGAATTCTGGGGACCTTACTTGTGGCGATGTGGCTGGTGTTACTCTATGACTCAGTGCATTTATTTAGTGCCTGTGGTGTTCAGCATTGTGTAGTTAACATGCCTGACCTCAGACAAAGTTTGATCCCCTCTCCACGGTGGAGATTTTGAGTAACTTGCCCGCAAAGCTAGTAGGGCCTGGATGGGAAGCCAGATTCTCTGTCACAACCTCTTTCTGTCACAGCGAGGGCACTGGACCATCTCGTTACTGTTTAGCCCTTTTTGGGACCACAGACCCCTTCAAAAATCTGATGAAAGCGTTGGATCCGATTCCCAGAATGGAACAGTTTTACAGACAAGTTCAGGGCTGATCAAGGACTTTCTGAAGCTGTGTCTCAGTTGATTTTTTGGGATCCTTCCTGTGCCCTGGATGTCTAGAAAGGGAGCTGGGCCGAGTCTGGGAAGCAGGGAAGGATGTGGTGGCTGTGGGGCCGGAGTGCCCCCCTTGACCTCTGCTTCCTCCCCAGGATGGCGGTTGTTCCCATCGTCATCAGCCTGACCCTGACCACGCTGCTGGGCAACGCCATCGCCTTTGCCACGGGGGTGCTGTACGGACTCTCTGCTCTGGGCAAAAAGTGCGTCTGCTGGGCCCAGGCCCTGGGCAGGGCCTTCCTTCCCGCCGCCGCCTCCCCCACCGAAGTCCCTCAGTGAGGAGGGTCTGAGAGTGGCCCCTTTTAGCCAGTGCAGACTGAGGCAGAGGCCCCAGTGACTCATCAGTGCCTCCAGGGCTCAGCTCTAGCAGGTGAAGACAGAGGATTCACAACACTTCTGCGTGGCCCAGTCTTGCCCTGTCGCGGCCTGCAGCAAGGATAGCAAACATATGACTGGTGGGAGCCCCTCCCCTCCCGGGTCTGCACCGGGCATTGTAGTCAGTTGCCACCCTCTCTTCTGCAGGGCCCAGACTGAGGCTGGTTCCTTCTCAGCCCAGCATCCCAAGAAGCCTGGGCCACTCTCAGAGGGGACAAGACAGGCCTTTGCCACCCCAGCAGTTGTCTCTGGGGAAATCAGAATGCCCTCAGGTCACAGTTGGGTCACAGGGCAGGAACCGGGCAGTAGTCAGGAGGGCTGTGGGCGTGGGGCTGGCGCTCCACGTGACGCTGCCTCTCTCTCTCCCCAGGGGCGATGCGATCTCCTACGCCAGGATCCAGCAGCAGAGGCAGCAGGCAGATGAGGAGAAGCTCGCGGAGACCCTGGAGGGGTAGCTGTGAAGGGCTGGGCACCCCTCCCTCCCTGCCCCCTCCTCTGGCTCTGTGTGAGTCCAAGTGAGGCCTGGACTGTCCACACTGAGGCACAGCCTGGAGAGGGGCTTCTGCACCTGCCCCTACACCTGGAGTCCTCTGCTCCTTTCTCCAGGCTTGCTTAAGCCAGGAGCGCCTGGCTGCTGGTATGAGAGTCTGGGCTGCTGGACTTGAGGCAGAGCCGAGCAGAGCCTGCAGCAGCTGTGTGGACACCAGATGGCCTTGCTCCCCCGCTGGGTGGGTCTGCAGACCTCACACCACAGACAGGGCTGCCAGTGACCTGCTGTGACCTGGCAACAGCCTCCCCTGGAGATGCTGGTCCTGGCTTGAGGGGAGGTGCAAGTGGGACCCTGCCACCTGGGCACTGGGCAGAGGGACCTCCCCCAGCTCTCTTGGCAGGTAGAGCCACAGGGTCCAGGACAGCCTGCCACTGCCAGCAACCTCCCACCACTGCTTAGGGTGCAGCGCCCACTGCCACCCCGCCTTCTCAAGAAGCCCATAGGGCCCCTAAGGTACATCCCTGTACCTGGAACTGCAGCCTCGGCAGTGACCGCACAGCTGGGTGGGGGATGCTCCCTGCCAACTCCTGGAACCTTGGACAGGCCACCCCAAGACCCCTCAGCTGCCCCTCCTCCCTGGGCCTGCTAAGGCCCCTAGGTTCTGCCCATCAGCACCCCCCCACCCGGCTGGCCTTGGTGCTAAGGAAGTGGGGAGAGCAGGCTCTCCCTGGCCTCACTGAGGGTGCCCACCCTCTCCCTGGTGTGGCCCCATCATGTCAGCCGCAGTCCAGCCCCGTGAGTGGGTCAGTGGGTCTGACCTCAGCACCCACTCAGGTTCTCCTGCCGGCCTGCCCAAGCCCTGCCCTCAGGGAGCTTCTGCCTTTTAAGAACTGGGCAGAGGCCACAGTCACCTCCTCACACAGAGCTGTCCTCACTGCCCCGGGTGCCAGGCCATCTGGAGCCAGGCCTACCCAGGGAGGACACGGAGAGCTGGTGCCCGGGAAGTGCATCCCCATATTCCCTCTGCCCTGTGGCCTCAGTGCAATGACCTCTCTGACTGTGAGGCTGGCTCTTGGCCGTCGGGCAGGTGCCTGGTCGGGCCTGGCTTAGCCTGGGTGGGGCTTGGCAGAAGCGGGAGGGTATGGAAGATACTCCATCTGGGTCCGACCCCAGGCTGGGCCTGTGCTGAGCTTCGGGAGCAGAGGTACTGGGCCTTGCTAAGTGGACTGTTTCCCAGGAACACCTCTTGGGCCCATCTGCGTCTGAGGCTGGGAGTGGCAGGCTGGAGGCCTGGGTGTGGGGTTCTTTGGGTCCTGCCCAGTACTGCCCTGGGGACCTGTCTGTGGACTCCTGGGTCAGCAGCACCCCACCCCCGGGAGTCTGGCCAGCTGAGCCCCAGGGTGGCAGGGGCATTGTAGCCTGGTGGACACGTGCCTTCAGGGTTCCTCCGGGGCCACTTTCCTCAGGCCAGTGCTGGGTTCAAAGGGCTATGTGTGTGTGTGTGTATATATGTATGTGTGCGTGTGCACGCATTTGTCCCATGTATGCAGTGAGTGAGACCTGTCTACCTCCCACGAGAAGCAAGGGCTCTGACCGCCCTCTGCTCCTTCCTACCCAGGTAGTGGGGCCCCGGGGCCCCTTCTGCCTGGCCTGCCTGCTGCTGCCCCTGCCAGAGGGGCCTCGCCGACAGCCAGAGACAGCAGGAGAAGGGTGGGCTGTGGATCAAGGAAGGCTGCCCCTGTGCCCTGTGGGGAAATGGTGGGTGCACAGCTGGATGCAGAGGTGGAAGGCCCTCAGCCACAGGCCAGAGCGGGCGGGTCACCTGTCCCAGGTTCCCAGCAAGTCTGCAGCTGTGCGGACCTGGGGCTTCTGACCCTGTCTCCCAGGGAGTGTGCTGTCCAGCAGGGGCCCTGCCTTGCAAGGAACGTCTCTTCCATCGGCTGGGCCACTCCTGCCTCGTCTGGGCTGTGTGTGGCGCTCTTTCCCCCCGTCTGCACCTCTGTGTTCTGTGTGTGTCTTGAGCAATAAAGCGCAGCCGTGGCTCACATGTCTGTCCTCACTCCCTTCTGCTTTGGTGCCTGTGTGTGTGTGTGGAAGCCAGGCAGGAGCTGCTGGCCCAGGAAATAACTACAGGTCCTGTCCCGAGGCTGCCTCTGGCATCACAGACAAGGAAAGTGACCTGCCCAAGGTCACACAGTTAGGAAGAGGAGCCTGTTAAGGGCGGGCCTCGCTGTGAGCTTCCCCTCACAGCAGCCTCTTCCCTGCCCTGCTTGGCTGTGGATCAGCAGTCAGTGGCCCTGGCAACCTTGGCTGGTTCGTGTCTAGCCTGGCTGCTGTGGGGGCTCCCCTCCTGGAGTAGACCCCACTCTTTCCTCGCCAGGGCTACAGGCCCAGTTCCTTTATTTTTATAAAAGGGTGAACACAGTTTGCGGATAGGAGCTGCCTGTTCCCAGAGGTTGGGCTGGGGCAGGAGGAAGTGGCCACGCCAGGTCCTTTGCCCTGGCTTTTTTTTTTTTGGCGGGGGGGGGGCAGGGGAACGGAGTTTCACTCTCGTTGCCCAGGCTGGAGTGCAATGGCATGATCTCAGCTCATTGCAGCCTCCACCTCCCGGGTTCAAGCAATTCTGCCTCAGCCTCCCAAGCAGCTGGAACTACAGGTGTGCGCCACCACACCTGGCTTTTTTGTATTTGTTAGTAGAGACGGGGTTTTACCATGTTGGCCAGGCTGGTCTTGAACTCCTGGCCTCGGGTAATCCGCCTGCTTCGGCCTCCAGAAGTGCTGGGATTACAGGCATGAGCCACTGCACCTGGCCTGCCCTGGCTTTTGAAGTCCAGGATGTTCCCTGTGGTGTCCACAAGACTTGGGGGGGCAGAGCCGGGTCTTCCTTGCACAGCCAGATGTCACCAGATCAGAACGTGATGATATGACTACGTTACTTGGCTGCCTCCAGCCCTGTCCTCTCAGTCCTCCCCGTAGCCTTCTGTGGGGTGTGTCCTTCACGCCAAGGGTAAAGGACTAGGTCTGAGGTCACCCAGTAGGGCCATGTCCCTGGACGCAGAGTAGTGTGCTCTCCTGCGGCCCATGGCTACGTGCAGCACTGCAGGCCGCCTGGGCTGGGGCTGCGGCTGGACAGCAGTGCTACCTGTCCAGAGCCAGGGGCACGCGCTGCTGAGGCCCCATCACGCCGCTCTTCCTGTGCTCTGGCTGGTGGCAGGGATGACTGCTGCCTCTTGGTCCCAGGGTGCAGGATTGCAGCCAACACAGGCCCAGCCACTGGGGGTTTGGCCCCCTCCAGGCAGGGACCCTGACCTAGCGCAAGAAGGACCTTCTCCCCGTGCGGAAGAAGGACTCGATCTGCTCCAGGGACCGTCCCTTGGTCTCGGGCACACAGCAGCCTGTGAACACCAGGCTCACCAAGCAGATGGCCGCGAAGAAGAAGAAAGGCACCTGGAGGCCGAAGGCGCTCTGTGGGTGGAGAGCGGGCCCGGGTCACAGGGAGAAGATCCAGGGTTCTCCTGCCCCAGGAGCAGCTCATGGGCCCTGCTGGTAGCAACCAGCCGTGTGGGGCCTCATCTGGTCCTTCCTGTGTTCAGAGATAGCTCCCCCACACCAAGGCTCCCCCACTGCCCCCAGGACAAATCCGAAGGCTTTAGCCCCGTTTGTGGCCCTCGAAGTCTGCATCCCGTCTGCCCCTCAGCCTTCCTCAGAGGCTGGGCCCTCTGGCCTCAGCTCAGGTAGCCCCTCTACGCCCCTTACCCAGCGCTGGCGTCCCAGCTGTTCCACGCCGCAGCCTACAGGAGGCCCGCCCCACAGCCTGGTAGGCACGCAGGTTCTTCTTGGACCCTCTAAGCTGACGGACTCACTCTGGGTTGCCTGCCCTCCCGCAACCCCACTGAGGGGACCACTGCGGGGACAGGTTAGGCGCTGGCCTGGGCTGCCCTAGCCAGCTTCTCCCTCATGGGAACTTACCCTGGGCCTGACGGATTCTGGCTGGTCACAGGGCCCGTAGTTTTGAATCAGGAGGCAGGGGGAGTGGGAGGGGTTGGGGGGAGCGTGTGGGAGGGGAAGGGGATAGTGTGGGGGTGCAGCTGAGACCCAGTGCCCAGGAGGGCGGGAGATGGAGCACGGTGGGGAGGTGGTCTTCCTGGGCTCCTGGCAGGGTTCTGGGCCATGTCCTGCCCTGGCCTGGGAGGTAACCTGACTTCTCAGAACAGTCTCCTGAGCCTGTTCCTGTTTCTCGTAATGAAGAGCCTCTGTCGGACTGTCACGTGACCACTCTGGGGCCTCTGAGTTCAGGGGGTGTGTGCTCATCTCCTAGCATCACTGAGAGTTAGGGGCCTGACAGAGCTGGCCTTGGCATAGCCCCTGGCACTGAGAAGGGTCCCGGTCAGTCACAGAGGGCCTGGGGGCCCGGGGCTGAGCACTCACCACCACTGGCAGGAAGGACTTGGTGAGGACGAAGGCGGTGAGCCAGCTGGCCAGCACGCAGAGCCCCGAGGCCACGCCACGGGCCCGCAGGGGCAGGACCTCAGACATGAGCAGCCAGGTGATCGGGCCCCAGCCCATGGCATAGCCTGCTCGGAGGAGGAGGCAGGCTGAGGCCCTGTGGGGCGACTGGAGGCGGCAGTGTCTGTCTCCACTGAGCTGCTGGAGACCCCCTTCTCCAGCCACCCGGACACATCACCCATCCCTTAACACCCGAGACAGCCTGCCCCTGAGCCGCCGCCACACCTACCCATAATGAAGAACATGGTGGCCAGCAGGGGCACAAGGGTGAGGTAGCCAGCTGGTGCTGCCAGGGGCTGTGCCAAGTTCCCCCAGGACTCACTTTCCAGGCCCGCAGTGCTGTTGGGGCTCAGAGGCCTGGGGCCAAAGTGGATGTACAGCCCCAGAGTCAGGTTGGCAGCAAACATGATGGCCGCTGTGGACAGACAGGTGGCCTCGTGGGGCCAGGACCCTCTGAGCCAGCTGTTTCTCTCAGAGTTCTTTCTGCAGAGCCCCTTACTTGCGTGGTCCAGCCCGTGTCTGGGACTAGAGACCCCCGGCAGGGCAGCAAGCTCTGTCTCCAGCCCCATGTCAGGCTCCCACCATGCCCACCATGGAGTGTCACAGCCAGTGTGTCCACTCGGAGCCCCAGTGGACCTTTCTGGAGCCACTGGCCAGGGCCAGGGCCCTGCTGATGCTACAGAGGCAGGTGCCCTGCAGTTCCCAGACACACAGCCCCACCCCGAGGCAGGCCTGCACACCCAGCCCAGCCCCGAGTCATGCGGAGGAGCGGGGCAGGCGGGCTGGCTGCAGGGTGCTTACCTGAGACGAAGAGCAGCACCTTGCGGCCAGCGAGGTCCATGGTGAGGGCGGCGATCAGCACAGACAGGAGCCGCACAGCCCCAACGATGGCTGCGTCATCCTTCGGGGGCTATGGGGAGGGAGGCCACCAGGGCTGAGGGACTTGCCTGCTGTTCCCGTCCCCGTCCAGGACCCAGCTTGTCCCTGCTGGCACTGCAGGGGCTCAGGCCAGCAGCTCAGCGCAGGACTGAGTGGTCTGGCGCCTGCAGCATGCTGGGCGTCTACACTGTCCGAGCCCACGGGGCCTCCTGGGCAGGCACACATCTGCTCTGCCCACCACTACCCTCATCTGGCACAGAATCCAAGCGTGATGATGACTTGCCGAACCGTGCTGTTCCTAATCTCCAAATCTCATCTCACTCTGAGCCTTGGGGCAGGCCTACGGAGACGTGCTGCTATCTTCTTCTTGCAGAGGAGGAAGTTGAGGTTCAGAGGGGAAAGTGACTTCCCTCATCAAGTGGCAGATGCCACAGGGCTCTGAACCTGGGGTCTATGGCCTCAAGGGGTCCACGTTTCTATAAAGCTGGTTTCCTTTGTAATCCCATGTATTTTATTTAACTTTAAAAATTTCTATATGTTTTTAGAGACAGGGTATCGCTCTGTCACCAGGATGGAGCGCAGTGGTGAGATCGTGGCTCGCTGGAGTCTCAAACTCCTGGGCTTAAGTGATCCTCCCGCCTCAGTCTCGTGTTGGGATTATGCTAGTATTTTATTTTAAAACATTTAAGCTTTTCTTAAAAACATTCTGAGAAGAGGGGAAGGCACAGGAACTGTCTCCACATGGCCCAGATCTCAGATCTTGCTGTGGCATCCCTGACACCTGGCACAGAGTAGGTGTGGGTAAGGCCGGGGGTTGGGTAAATGTAGGAGCAGGCCCTGCCTCCCAAGCCAGGCCTGCCCTGCCAGCCTCCAGTGGACCCCGTGGGTGGGCGCCGGCCAGGGCTGGGCTCTCACCAGCAGGACAGCAGTGCTGTCGAAGATGGACTGCAGGTAGACCAGGATGGGCGTGATGCCCGTCAGCTGCTGCAAGAGACGCATCAGCAAGGCCACGGCGATGGGCCGGCACACGTGGGGGGCCCGTGCCTCAGCCCACGACACTCGGCTGCTCTGAAACACAAGAACGCCACTGAGGGCGTTGGGCCAGCCTCTCCAGCAGGTGCCATCCTGCCCTGGACTGCCAAGGGTTGGGTGGGAGACCCCCTTTTTCCCTCCTCCAGGAAAGAAGCAGCTTACCAGGCCACCCAGGCTCTGGGGACAGCCCCCCAACCCCAACTCAGGCACTTGGATTAGTGGGAACTACTGTGGTCCTGTCTTCCAGGAAAAGCCTCCACGGCCACACAGAGCTGAAGTGTGGGAGGCGGGCCTGCCAGGCTTGTGTGCACACCCTCCTGCACCTGTCTCCGGACGTTGTCCTGGATCTGCTCGAACTCCCAGTGGACGTCGGCGTCCGTCCCGCGCAGCCAGGCCAGCGCCCGCAGGGCCTCCTCATCCCTGCCCCGAGAGAGCAGGAAGCGCGGCGAGTTGGGCATGAAGCTGAGCAGCAGGATCATGACGAGCACGGGCGCCTCCCCGGCCACAGCCAGCCAGCGCCACGGCAGCAGGAGGCCTGGGGGCGAGCAGTGGGTGAGGGGCCAGGTCCAGGCCTGGTAGAGCCCTTTCCCTCTGGAGCCTCTGAATAACCTCATCTGCCCTTTAAGGTCTAGTCCAAGGGCCACCTCCTATAGGAAGCCTACCCTGATTGCCCCAGGCAGGGTGGGGCTGCAGGGATTGCTCAGCCCCTGGCACATAGTGGGAAGTCCTTGGAAAGTCTTAGGGCCAGGGCCGGATGAGGAAGGACTAGGCTGGGCAGGCAAGGCCCTGGGCCTCCACCCAAGACCTCCACGCCCCCTCAACTGAGCAGCTGCATGCACTGTGATTTCTTTTCTATCTGGACTTCCCATCTGAGATGGCATTTGATGGACGCTTTCTGCCGTTAAAATATAGTCTGGCGACTGTGGGTCCAGGAGAAGCCCTGGCTGCCCCAGCTAGGGACTTGGCCTGTGGCTAGAGGGGCAGGCCCTGCCTGGAGGTGCGCAGCAAGGTGCTGGCTGAGTGGGGCCGGGATGCCAGATCTCTTGCCTCTCAGCCCAGGATCTGTTCTGGGGCAAATCATTCCCTTTCCACCCACGTCTACCTTGGCGGCACCCACCCCTCCCACCAGGGCCATACTTGCCAAGGGCGTAGAGAGAGAGGGATCCGAACACTGCCATGAGCTGGGGTGTGGCCCCTAGAGCTCCACGAACGCCTGGGGGAGCAATCTCAGACACGTACACCTGCAAGACACAGCCACCGCACCAGGTTTTGCTGAGAATGCAGGTTCCTAGGCCCGGCCAAGATGGGAGGGGCAGCCCCTGTGAACCCCGGAAAGTGGGAAGCGGAGGCTTTCTGGTGGGGCTGTGTCCTGGTCATGACTCACTGCAGGACCTTGGGCGGCCTGCCTGATCTCCCTCTGTCCTCACTTTCCCTAACTGTGAGGTGGGTGGAAGGACTTAGCTCAGAAATGAACAGCATGATGCTGGGAAGGAGGCCCGAGGGCTCCCAGGCTCCAGGGCTGAGCAGGTGAGTCCATGCCTCCCAGCGAGTTCTGTCTCCTCTGCTGGGCTCACCAGGCCCCGTGTGGAGTATCGGATAAGATAAGAAGGTCCCAGGGAGGGTGTCGGGCAGGGACTTCCCTCTCCTACCCATTGCTCAATGCGGATTTTCTCCAATTGAGTAATACATCTGACCAGTCAAGAAATGGGGTAGAAGGCTTGGAAAGTCCAGAGTGGGGGTAGCCGGGGACCTGGAGGCAATTTCCCCCAAATTAGCTGCCCTGCTGGGGGTGAGCTGAGGGCATCCGCAAGGAAGGCAAACAATTCGCATTGCCCAGAAGGCATGGAGGCCGGCAGGCCTTAGTCAGATGGAGGCTCAGCACCAATACAGAGGCACTGGGGTCCCTGGGTGGGAAGGCTTGGCCTTACCGGGATGCAGGCGGCTGTGAGCCCCCCGGCGAAGCCCGTCAGCGTCCTTCCGAGCAGCAGCATCCAGAGGCCGTGTGCACCCGCCATGAGCGCGTAGCCGGCCGCCGACGGCACCGCTGAGAACATGATGCTCAGCTTCCGGCCCAGGAGGTCATTGAGGATCATGGCACTCAGGCCTCCGGCTGCTGCTCCCAAGGTGAACACGGACTGCAGGGGAACGGGGTGCAGGGCAGATATGTCTGGGCACTGTGCACCCCACTCTCATCAGAGTCCAGGGACAGCTTCTTCTCTAGGCCGACCCCAGGAGCTGGTCAAGCACTTGACCAAGTCAAGCACTTGAAGCAGGGAGCCTCCTGTCTTCAAGGGACAGCCATTTGTTAGGGATGCTCAAACAGGGAGTTCTGCTCTAAGGAAGAGGCACTGCCACATATACACAGTGGTTTTGTCCAGCCTGATGGTTAAATGTCTAATATTTTAATACAGGAGAATTCCGTGACTTGAAGGCCCTGGGCTTTAAGATTTGGAGGTTCTTAAGTTCCCTGTACAGCAGCAACTGGGACCCCCTCTGGACTCTGCTAACTGGTAGTGGGACCCGGGCACATTGCCCAGCCTGTCTGAGCCTCAGTTTCTTGGACTGTCTTATGGGGAGAGCACAAGTGCTACCTCGTGGGGTTGGCCCTGGAAGTCAATGAACGTTCAGTGCCCAACACGTGCCTGGCACATAGGAAGTGCTCAGTAAATCTTATCTTAACTACTATGTTGTAACTACATCTGAGGCTATTAAGATTGTAATTCTAGACTCTGGGACTTTGGGATCTTCCTCTCCATCAGCCCACAATCTGTCCTGCAGACCCTCCTTGCCCCAGCCGGTGCCTCTCCCCACTGACACCTGATACCCTTGCCCCCATCCAGCCAACTGTGGGTGTGGGGACCTGGGGAAGCCTCAACCCCACCTAGTGTAGACCCTGACAGCCACCTCCCCACCTGCTCCTTCCTTCACCCTCTCCACTGGCTTTCAGTTCCTCATTTCAGAGGAATCCTGTAGCTTTACCCCACCCACCAGTGGCCTGGATGGCTGGGGGCGGGGGGACCAGGGCCCTGGAGGGGCTGGTGAATTTGGCTGGAGAATTTGGGAGGTCCCTAGCTGGGGACAAGGCTCAGCAGGTCCCTGCTCCCTGCACCCACCCTCCTCCGAGGATGCTCCTTACCCCGAACCAGGATGCCTGGGATTTGGTCAGATGCAGGTCGGGATCCAAGGAGTGCTCCAGGGCTGGGATGACAGGGGATGTGTAGACCAGAGCATACCCAAAGCTGAAATTGCCGAGCACTGCGGCGAAGGTGGCCAGGAACACCCTTTTGTTCTGCAGGGCCCTGGTGATAGTGGCGGACAAAAGGACCAGGGTCTCTGAGTCCCTCCTCCAGGAACCATTGCCTTTTCTGAACCCAGTGGCTGCCCAGCTCAGCGGGCAGTGCTGGGGAGGCCTGGGTCCAAGGCCATTCAGGTTCCCAGGGCCTGAGCCCCAGCTCCCCTGGGAAATTCCCAGGCCATTGTTAGCTCATCGCCGTGGCTGAGCCTCTGGTGCTGGGGCCTTTTCTCCGGAAGAGGAGGCTCTGGTTCTGCCCCCAGGTCTGCGGCTGGAGGCTTGCTGTGTGACCTCAGGCAGACCCCTTGCTCGCTGGGGCCTCAGTCTTCCTGTCTGTGGCAGTAGGGGGCTGGGCCTGGTACTCCCGTGGATCGTTCCTTCCCTTAGAGGGACCGGTTCCTTAAATAGGAGTAGCGTGTCCGGGACAGGAGGGAGCCAGATGGCCCCTCGGTGGCGACTAGGTCAGGGGAGGCCCAGGGTGGGAGCGTGCCGCCGGCTGGAGGGAACCAGAGCCACCCCCAGGCCCCACCCCCAGTCCCCAACCCAGCGACTCTCACCCGACCCGCGCCCTGTCCCCTGGCGACGGGGGCGGCTTCTCGGGGAAGGTGTCGTAGTCCGGGCCCTCGGCTCCCAGCAGCGGCTCCTGCATGGCCGGGTCTCTCTCCGGGCGAGCGGAGGGCGCTCAGACTGGAGCAGCCGCTCGGGGGCCGCAGCGCCCCCGGCTAGGCCCCGCCCCTCAGCCGCGATTGGCTGCGGGATGGCCCTGCAGAGCCGCGCCGGCCAATGAGGCGGCCGCACGCTGTCCTGATGCTCGGATGCGGACCCGGCTTCCCAGGGCGCGGCCCGCACCGCGTGCGCACCCGAAGGTCCCGCCCCCGAGACGGGATGGGGGTCCCAGGGCGGAGCCCCTGCCAGATCGTCCGGGGTCCTCGCGGAGCGCCGGGAGCTGCTCACCCGGCCCGGGCACCAGGGAATCGCCGAGTGTCAGGGCAGCAGCGGATGTGCGGGACCAAGGAGGCGGGAGGGGCCGGGCGGGGCGCTGTGGGCAGCTGCAGTGGGCGAGGTCTGTATCCTCCACCCCAGGCTCTGATGGTAGAAATAACCTGAACTCGTGACATGTCACCCAGGTAGTAAGATAACATTGAAAAATAAGAAAAGCAGAAATGGAAAATTCCCGGGAAGCCCGTCCTCAAAAAATCCCACAGCACTTCCACCTCTCCCTTTGGGCCTTTTCGGGAAGAGGACGAAATCACGCCCTGCTCTGCTGGATGGACGTGCCACACACGCTTTTAAACGGATCCTTTGTTACTGAGTATTTGGGTCATTTCCCATGTTTAGCTATTAACGTAGTAAAGCATTTTTAAAAGTTAGAGTTCCCCTTATTATGATTGAAATAAAACCATAATAGAACAATAAAGAGAATCACGTCCATCTCCCGTCAGCCTGACCTTGAAGGCATTTTAGCCTCTTTCCTTCCAGTCTTTTCCCCATGTGCCTATTTTGCGTATTTGCTATTGGGGCCCCCATTAAATCCTGTAGCCCCTTTACGTCATCGTTTTCTTGCCATCAAGATCATAGGCTTTGGACTCAGGCACACCCGGTATGGTGATCAGGCTGCACAGTTCTCATGGCCATATATACATATATGTATGTATTTTTACACGCATGCACACACACATGTGTTTTTACACGCATGCATACACACATGTTTTACATGCATGCACACGTTTGTGTTTTACATGCATGCATGCACGTATGTGTTTTACACACATGCACACACATGTGTTTTTACATACATGCATATATGTATGTTTTTACATATAAGCATATATGTATGTATTTTTACGTATAAACATATATATGTATTTTTTTTTTGAGACGGAGTCTCGCTCTGTTGCCCAGGCTGGAGTGCAGTGGTGCAATCTCAGCTTACTGCAACTTCCGCCTCCCGGGTTCAAGTGATCATCCTGCCTCAGCCTCCCAAGTAGCTGGGATTACAGGCATGTGCCACCACACTCGGCTAATTTTTGTATTTTTAGTGGAGATGGGGTTTCACCATGTTGGCCAGGTTGGTCTCAAGCTACCGACCTCGTGATCCCCCTGCTTCAGCCTCAGAAAGTTCTGGGATTACAGGCGTGAGCCACTGCACTTGGCCTTCTCTTTTTTTAGAATGTATTTTTTTCTTTTAAAATCAACTTTAGGCCAGGCACAGTGGTGTGTGCCTGTCCCAGCATTTAGGAGGCCAAGGTAGGAGGACTGCTTGAGGTCAGGAGTCTGACACCAGCCTGGGCAACAAAGTGAGACCCTGTCTCTACAAAAAACTAAAACAAATTATCCAGGTGTGATGGCGAGTGCTTGTGGTCCCAGCTACTCGGAAGGCAGAGGTGGGCAGATTGCTTCAGCCCAGGAGTTTGAGGCTGCAGTGAGCTGTGATCACACCACAGCACTCCAGCCTGTTGAGTGCTGGAGTGAGAGGGAGAGCCTTCTTGAAAAAATAAAATACAAGAAAAATCAACTTTATTAAGCTACAATTTATATACAGTAAAATGAATCCATTTTAAGTATAGGTTGATGAGTTTTGACAATTGTATAACCCCAAACACCCCCAATCAAGATATAAAACATTTCCACCGTTTCTAAGAAAGAAATTATCTTTTTTTGAGATGGAGGCTCACTCTGTTGCCCAGGTTGGAGTGCAGTGGTGCGATCTTGGCTCACTGCAACCTCCGACTACCGGGTTTAAACGATTCTCCTGCCTCAGTCTTCCGAGTAGCTGGGATTACAAGCGTCCACCACCACACCTGGCTAATTTTTGCATTTTTAGTAGAGACAGGGTTTCACCGTGTTGGCCAGGTTGGTAGCTGGGATTATAGGCACCCACCACCACACCTGGCTAATTTTTGCATTTTTAGTAGAGACAGGGTTTCACCATGTTGGCCAGGCTGGTCTCAAACTTCCAACCTCAGGTGATCCGCCCGCCTTGGCCTCCCAAAGTGCTGGGATTACAGGTGTGAGTCACCGCGCCCAGTCCATTTCCACCCTTCTAGAAGGTTTGTTTGTGCCTCTCTGAAGTCAACCTCCTTTCCCTGCTCACTAGTAAACTATTAATCTGCTTTCTGTGAAAATAGATTAGAGTGGTCTTATAAAGAGAACCTATGTGAAGTACTCTTTTGTCTGCCTTCTTTTTTCAGCATGTTTGTGAGATTTATCCATGTGCCAATTTTCAGTGGTGTGTCCTTTTTTGCAGTCGCGTAGTGTAGTGTTTTACGGATGTAGCACAGTTTTTTGCTAAAAGAATGAGCCGGTGTGAACCTTCTTGCACAGAACCCTGTTTAACGCCTTTTTTTTTTTTTGAGACAGAGTCTCGCTCTGTCACCCAGCCTGGAGTGCAGTGGTGCCATCTCAGCTTACTGCAAGCTCCACCTCCTGGGTTCACACCATTCTCCTGCCTCAGCCTCCTGAGTAGCTGGAACTACAGGCGCCCACCACCATGCCTGGCTAATTTTTTGTATTTTTAGTAGAGACGGGGTTTCACTGTGTTAGCTAGGATGGTCTCTATCTCCTGACCTCGTGATCCGCCCGCCTCAGCCTCCCAAAGTGCTGGGATTACAGGAGAGAGTCACTGCATCCAGCCCTGTTTACCAGCCTTTTAATGTTAAAGGTTGGGTGGATGAACCTGAATTTGTAATGAATCTTCTGTCATGGGCATCAAAGCTGTTTCGAACTGTAGGGGTAGAAAAGGTGGAATCTGTTTCCTCATCCATTATTACAAGACCAGCAGATCCACGTGCCTGCTCCGCAGTGACTCCGTGACACACAGTGCCCCACGGCAGCAGGGTTCGCAGCAGGGAAGAGTTTAGTGATTGTAGGGCTCTGAGCAAGGAGATAGGAGGAGACCCCGTGCCTGGCCGGTGTCAGTAGTTTCATTGGTACACAGGACCCAAAAGAACATCTCAAATGGAACCTTTGTCTGGAAGCGGTGCCTCCCGCCTGTAATCCCACCACTTTGGGAGGCCGAGACGGGCGGATCACCTGAAGTCAGGAGTTCGAGACCAGCCTGGCCAACATGGGGAAACCCCGCCTCTACTAAAAATACAAAGAATTAGCCAGGTGTGGTGGCAGGCGCCTGTAATCCCAGCTGCTTGGGAGGCTGAGGCGAGAGAGTCACTTGAATCCAGGAGGTGGAGGTTGCAGTGAGCTGAGATTGCGCCATTGTACTTCAGCCTGGGCAACCAGAGCAAAACTCTGTCTCAAAAAAAAAAAAAAAAAAAAGGAAACCTTTGTAATGTTCCAGTTGTTATCTATAGGGCAGTGAGGGAGAGGTGCAATCTTGTAACAGAGTCTATGTGATTCTAATGCAACGGGCACCAAAAAACTTGGAGGTCAGTGAGCAAGTTGACCTAGTGATGGATGCTGAATGTACTACAAGCCTGGTTTAGTCTCATTTCTCCTCCTCTCTTCCTCCTTGATTAATTTTATAAAGTTTATAGGGATGGTCTCATCATCATCAGGGCCATGGGTGACAGTTCTATAACAAAAGGCAGGTTCACAAGAGAAAAGCACACCAGATTTATTTAATCAAAGCTTTAGGTGACAGGGAGCCATCAGAAGTGGAGACTCAGAGACCCAGGGAGGATGGTTCCTGGGCTTAGAGTCGGTGGAGAACGGGCAGCCATGTGGACAGGTGTCAGATGGCAGGGGATGCCTGTGGGGGTGGACTGTGGGGAGACTGGTGAGGCCAGCTGTGCAGATCCCCCTTGGCCTCTCTGTGCAGTGCTTCCTCCCCCAGGGATGGGGCAGAACCCCAGGAGCAAGGGTCTTACGACCCACAGTCAGACAAGGTGGGCATGGCCATCTCCTCCCCAGAAAGGCAGGGAGGGTTCGAGTCGTGTGTCTAGGTCTCATGGCTGGCTTTTGGGAGACAGGGGCTCTAGTGTCCATGACCCACCTGGGAAAAGAGGAATTCTGGCTTCTGTGACTTGCTGTGGGGGAGAAAGAGGGCGGGAGACAGGAGGGGAGGAGAAGGTTGGAGAAAGACTTGGGATGCACCAGAGGACTTCTGGTTTCCTTTAGTCCTGAAACCTCATGCCAGGCACCCTGCTTGTGGGGATCATGGTCTGAACCCCAACAAACCATTTTTGCTGTTAAAATTAACATGCTGGGGCCGGGTACGGTGGATCACGCCTATAATCCCAGCACTTTGGGAGGCCGAGGTGGGAGGATCACCTGAGGTTGGGAGTTTAAGACCAGCCTGACCAACATGGAGAAACCCTGTCTCTACTAACACTACAAAATTAGCTGGGCGTGGTGGTGGGCTCCTGGAGTCCCAGCTACTTGGGAGGCTGAGGCAGGAGAATTGCTTGAACCCAGGAGGCGGAGGTTGTGGTGAGCTAAGATCACACCATTGCACTCTCCAGCCTGGGAGCAAAAGAGTGAAACTCTGTCTGAAAAGAAAAAAAAAAAAAAAAGAACATCTTTGTTTTTTAAAGAATGATTTCCTTCTGCAGGGACTGCTTTTGTGACCTCTAAAGCCTGTTTTAACCTTCTCATGGGGAAGCTCACCTTCCTCCTGTCCTTCTCTCCTGGGTCTGTCTGTGGCAGACAGGCTGCTTGGGGACCTGGCCTCTGAGGGGGTGTGGAGGCACCCCCCAATCCATAGTGCTGAGCACACAAAGTGTGTCTGGAAGCCCCTTGCTGACTTGAACTCAGAGTCCTCTCCCCTTCTGTGGCCTCCCACCCCAGGCAGGAATCTCAGTTCAGAGCAGCAGAAAGAGAGCTGGTC